TGTATATATATATATATATATCTATATATATATATATATATATGTATACATATATATGCTTTTCTTTTTCATAAAACTGCACCGCTTGCAAATATCAATAAATGAATGGCCTCTGCTGCTGTGTGTGCTACTGCTGCTGCATCTGCTGCTTCTGCTGCTGCATCTGCTGCTGCTTCTGCTGCTGCTGCTGCTGTTGCTGCTGCAGGCGTTGCGTTTGTTAGACCCTGAGAGTTTATTTTTTGCGTGTAGAGTATTTTCGCGTTTTGACAGCGTCAACGGCTACAAAAGTTTGCTGCGGATATTTCCTTCTGAGAGTAAATTAGCTGTTGTCGCTGATGATATAGATGCGGTCTGGCGTGAACAAAACAAATGCATTAAGATCGAAGGATATTTCTTCTTCGCAGATGCTGCTGCAGCTAACTTTAATAACCTCAGACCCCAGACACTCACACACTGGATCGCAGCTGCGAGGCCCTTCTGCAACTTCCTACACTCAGGTCTGCTGCACTATGCTGCTGCTGCTGCTGCTGCTGCTGCTGCTGCTGCTCTTGCTGCTGCTGCTACTGCTGCTGCTAATGATGATGATGCTGCTGATGGTGATGGTGATGATGATTATGCTGCTGCTACTTCTGCTGTTGCTGCTACTTGAACTGCTGCCGGTTTGCTGCTGGTGTTGTGCTGCAGTGCGAACGCGGCGTCCAGCTGCAGCAAACAGCAGAAGGAGACCCTCTGCTGCTGCTGCTGCAGAGCAGGAGCAAGTGCATGCTCAAGCCCATGCTCAGCAAGAGAGGGAACAGCGCGAAGAAAGACAGAAGCAGCTGCAGCAGCAGCAACTGCAGCAGCAGCAGTCGCAGCAGCAGAACAGTGGTGCTGCTCCAACAGCAGCAACAACACCACACAACACTGCAGCAGCAGCAACCGCAGATGCAGGCGCGAGCCCTGATGGGGCCAAGCAGCAGCAGCAGCAGCAGGAGCAGCAGCAGCAGCAGCAGGCGGAAGCACCAGCAGCAGCTGAAGCAGCACCTGAAGCACAAGATACGCCTAATACGCACATTAACAAGAGACAGCTTCCTTCCTCTTTACAGTGGGGCTTTCTTCTGTCTCTGCAACTTCTTGCTCTCTTGTTGCTGCTGCTGTTGCTGCTGCTGTTGGTGTCGCTGCTGCTGCTGCTGGTGTTGCTGCTGCAGCGCCTTCTGCTTCAGAAGCAGCAGCTGAGGCGCTCTATGAAAGTGGCCGCAGCAGCAACAGCAGCATTGGCAGCAACAGCAGCAACAAGAACAGGAACAGGAGTAGCAGCAGCAACAGTAGCAGCAGCAGCAACAGCAGCTGCTCTTTGCAGTGCAGTGCTGCTGTGTGTGTTGCTGTCGTTGTTGTAGGTGCAGCAAACAAAACGAAGAACCAAATAACAAACAAAAAGAGAAGGAGGAAACAAAGCAAAAAAATAAACAACAAAAAAACACAAACACATCTTTTAATGAATTTCCTGTGCCGCGATCCCCCAAACGTTTTGCTGCAGCAGCCAGAAGCAACAGCAGCAGCAGCAGCAGCAACAGCAGCAGCAGCAACAACAACAAGATGCGAGTAGCTGGAAAAGGAACTGCAGCGAAATCTTTCTTTGGCTCTGCTGCTGCTGCAGAAGCAACTCATGCTGCAGCAGCAGCATCAGCACCAGGAGCAGAAGGAGCCCCAGCAGCAGCAGCAGCAACAACTACAACAGCAGCAACTGCACCAGCAGCAGGAGCAGCAGGAGCAGCAGCAGCCACAGACGCAGCAGCACCAGGAGCAGCACCAACAGCAGCAGCAGGAGCAGCAGCAACAACAGCAGCAACAGCAGCAGCAACAGCAGCAGCAACAGCAGCAGCACCAGGAGCAGCAGCAACAGCAGCAGCAACAGCAGCCGCAACAGCAGCAGCATGTGGTGGTGTTTGTTTGGAGAGGTATGCGGGTGTTGCTGCTGAAGAAGGCCCTTTTGCTGCTTCCTTCTTTAAATGCGGTGTATTGCAAGACAGCGACAAACAGCTGCTGCACCTGCAGCAAATATTGAGAGCAATCCATCACCTCTACTTTAAAATTGTCAGGCGTCTTTTAAGAGCAAACAAACAAAGACTTTCTCAATACTGCAGCAGCAGCAGCAGCAGCAGCAGCAGCAGGAATAGCGATGGCAGCAGAAGGAGTAACGGACGCAGAAGCAGCAGCAGTTGCAGCAGCAGCTGCAGCAGCAGCAGCAGCAGTTGCAGCAGCAGCGGGGAGGAAGCAACAGATGATGACACTGCTGCTGCTGCTGTGGGGAGAGGGCGTCACAGGCGTGCTTCGTCTGCAGCAGCAGCAGGAGAGCCAACTGCAGCAGCAGCAGCAGCAGCAGCAGCAACGCCGAGGCGGCGAGTGCGCAGCAGCATGCTCTTGAAAGAAGAAGCAAACAGCCCCACAGCAATCGCCCTGCTGCAGCAGCTGCCCGATGTTGCTCTGGTTATTGAAGCCCTACGACAGCAAACACTTAGAGGTTTGTTTTTCTGTATTTGTTGTTTTTCTTTCTTTTTTTATCTGCTTTGTTTGTTTGTTTGTTTGTTTGTTTGTTTGTTTGTTTGTTTGTTTGTTTGTTTGTTTATTTGTTTATTTATTTATTTATTTATTTATTTATTTTATTTATTTATTTGTTTGTTTGCTTGCATCTTTTTTTCTTTTCTGTTTCGTCTTTTCATTTTATCTTCCGGTGTATTTACATCTTCATTTTTTTTGAGTTATGTTGGGGCTGTGCATGCATGATATAATAATAATATATTTTTCTGTCTTTCTTTGTTTCTTCATTCACATTGTTTTTGTTTGTTTACTTTATTTGTTTTGTGTTTGTCTGTCCAACCTGTTTTGTTTATTTCTTTTTTTGTTTGTTTTGCTGGTGTTGTTTAATGCTGTGTTTATTTTTATCGATTTCCTTTTGCTCTATGTTTATGCATGATTATATTATTATTATAATATATATATAGTGCATTATTAAATTATATTATTATAATATATATATATATATATAATGCATATATATATTATATATTATATATACATTTATCTGTTGTAAGAGCAATAAGACTTGTGCTTTCTTCTTCCTCTTTCTTTATTTGTTTGTCTTTGCGGTGTTTTGTTTTAAATGTTTTAAATTATTTTTTCTTCTTCTTTGTTTTATTCAAGAGTTTTTTTGTTTATTCTTTTGAGTTATGTTTGTCTACTTCAATTTATAAATTTATTTCTTTTTCTGTTTTGTTTGTTCCTATATAGACTTGTATGCATGCGCAGCACAACTGTTGAATGTTGCTTGTTTTTCTCTCTTTTTTTTGTTTTAAAGGGCATTATTATTCTTTTAAAAGAAATATGTTTTGTTTTTTTCTTTGTTTTTCTTTTCAGGGGTTGTCATAGGCTTTACAGGGCTGCAAGGCAAACATATTTGCAATGTACTGTCTACAGACTTAAGCCGTCTTGTTCTTCAGGCTGGCGGTCGTCTTCTCGATGTTTTTTCTTCAAATTGCACGCATCTTCTTTGTACAAAGGGTAATTTAATTAAAATAATTTATTCTAAATTCTTTTAAGCTTTCAAACAACTCCTTTTATGCAGCTTTCTGCTCGTTTATCTGCAGCTGTTTCCTTGTATAAAGGCGCTGTTGTTTTATTCATTAAATAATAATAATAATAATAATAATAATAATAATAATAATAATAATAATAATAATAATAGAAAAGCCAGGCACGGCCTCGCAGCAAACAAATCGTGATGCATTATACAACAAGCGAATATTTAAAGCCGAAATATGTCAGTCTAGGGTTTACGGTTTGGGGTTTAGGGTTTAGGGTTTAGGGTTTAGGGTTTTGTTTGTTGCAGTCACCGACAAGTACGTTCAGGCAGGGAAGCTGGGTATCCCCAGAGTGAGTCGGCACCCCTTCTCTGATGCTGCTGCTAGCCAGCTAGCTGCTAGCTAGCTAGCTAGCTAGCTAGCAGCAGCATCAGAGGCTCCCCTTTCCATACAGCTAGGGCCGTTCATACACAGCTAGCTAGCTAGCTAGCTAGCTAGGAGGCGACCATCAAGGGTGTTGAGAAGCCGCGAATGACTCACGGAATAGCTGCCTAGCTATCTCGCCAGCTAGCTAGCCAGCCTTCCGGATAGCTAGCTAGCTAGCTAGCTTGATAGCTAGGTAACTGGCTAGCTAGCTAGCTAGCTGTCTGTGAATAGAATGTTGAGTGTACGTTCAGGTGCATATAACTTGGCTGCTGAAGGCTCTTTATACGTGGAGGTGAGGAGGAGATCCGCTTTGTTGTTTTGTTGTCTTTGTTTGTTTATATTTTGTTTAAATAATAATATTTGCCTCTTTTCTTTTTGTTTTTTCTCTCTTTACCGTCTACCTGTCTTTGTATGATCTGCTTAAGTTTATCTCTGCTTGTTTTTGTTTCAATCAGAGTTCGTCTTTCTTTATTTTTCTATCTTTGTCTTAGAATTGTTTAGGGTTTGCACTTATGCTGTTTTTGTTTGTTTAATTTTATATTTGCTTTTGTGCTTGTTTATTTTATTTTATATTTTAGGGTTTAGGGTTTTAGGGTTTAGGGTTTAGTATGTTTTTATTTTGTTTATTTGTTTTTCTTTTCTCCCCCTCTTTATTCTTATTTTGTTGTTTTCTTTTTATTTTTTGTTTGTTTTATTCAAATGCATTTCATTAATAATGTTTATTTAACTGTCTTTTACTGTTAATCTTTTCATGTAGATTTATTTTATTAATACTTTCTAGTTTTTTATATCTTTTAATTAATATTATTTTAATTATATTTTTATGTAAAATGCATATAATTAGTAATACTCTGCTTTAATTTATTAATATTTTGTTTGTTTTAATATATTATTTGATATTATTAAGATTATATTTTAGTTTAAATATATGTAATTAGTAATGCATGTCTTTAAACGCCGTAAACTACTGATATTTTCTCCGCTTTAATTTATTGATGTTTTGTTTGTTTTAATATATTATTTAATACTATTTAAATTATATTTTAGCTTAAATTTATTTATTTATTTATTTTCAGAAGACCCAACGAACAACTTTTTGAGTTCCGAAGATGTGAAGGAAAATTTCGCTCGTGCTGGGAGCCGCAGAGCGAAGATAAATCTTTTGCGGGTATTACACTGCCTTATATGTTTAGTTGATTTAATTGTTTAATATATTTAAATAAATAAATAAGTATATATATATATGTATGTATGTATGTATGTATGTATGTATGTATGTATATTTAGATGTATGTAATACTATTCACAACGCGAATATCTGTAAAAGAATTATTATGTATACATATATAGATGAATATATATATATATATATATATGTATATATATATGTATATATATATATATATACATATATATATATATGTATTTATGTATATA